TTTCAGTGAAGTTATTTCATGTTAAAGAACTTTAGGTTCCAACTTTGTACTTCGCTGCAGTAATGATTCAAGCGTCGTGAAGTCGTTTAGCAAATTTGGTCGTCGTAAATTCTCACTGACTGGGTTCGCTCGTACCTTCAATTTATATGTTTTTTTTAACCACGTGACTGGCTCCGAAGGCATTGTTTATTCGTCAGGTCAAAAACTAAGTTGACGTTGTTCGGACGTAGTGGTGAGCAGGTAAATTGTTTCTTTAATATTTGTTAACCACTCAGAAAGCGCCTTACAAAACTCAGTCTGGAGCCTGATATATTCTGTGTTGCTTATTGAGAACAATACACGTGAAGATATACGAGATAAATTTAATATTTGTTATCCAATGAGAAGTTTAGGTTTTCAGAAACATTTATGAAGATGTGATCCGCTCTCTGCACGAAAATCGACATTTGTGAAAAAGTGGTAGCAGACAACTAAAAGCTTAAGAGAGATTGGTCTCATTTCTCCGTAAATTGTGTTAAGCCTTGCATGGGATCTCCAACTGATGTTCTGGATTTTGTTAAATAGATTTGTATATGTTCCATCCTGTCGTCTTTCATGACGAACACATAATGTCCAAGTTTCTCATTCATACAGTAGGACAGGTTCAATCATTGTTCGAAAGGTTTAGACTTTTGAGGAAGATGGAAAGTTCGAGCGCCAAATCTTGTAAAGTTTATTACACGCATCGCATGCAACGTTATCAGCCGTTAAGAACTCCGGCCTTCCTTAGCTGTGTATCAATCTGGGTAACGTGTAAGAAATTCTGAACTGAACCCTTTATTTAATCAAAAGGGCCGGGGGTACTCTGTTCTCGTTCCACTGCTCATGTCTAGGGATGCCCCGTCTAGTTCTTGTTTTTCGCACTGAGAGTTATTACTTGCCCGTTTCCAGTGTGTAAATTGGCCTTCTGGATAAAAGCGTTGATACGTGATTTTCGTGACATAATAATTATGAGTTCAATTTCTATGCAAGGCAGTGTGCAATCGAACTGAATATGAAAATAAAATACAAAATAAAAAGAAATCGCTAAATGAAGTTAAGAATTAGCCAAGGGACAATACTCTGTTAAAGTTGAATCTGAGTTGCCTCCCTTGCAGCAGCGGAATTAACACTATTGATATTAAGTTTTCATACAAATCCAGTAAAACATTAATGTAGTTGTTCAATTGATTCAGATTAAATTAAAAACAACAGATAGGTAATCTTGAGCCATGTATGGGGTGAACATAAATAAAAAAAAGAAATATTTTATCAATTCGCTCCATGTAAGGCGATAATGCCGCTAAGACACAAAGAGCAACTGAGAGTGAAAGAGAATGAAAAGTCTTCAGAACAAACAGGAAAACTTATCTTGAACAAGGATAAAAATCTACACCTGTTCAACGGATCGGAGAGGAGTAAGAACCGGGCGACGGGTGAACCTATCTACTCCTATTGAGGTGAAAAAAAATATAGAAATATAATATATATGATACTAAAAGTCTGTGACTGAGTACCTGCTCGTGTGGTACGTCGTCCGTCCGGCACATACTAATGCAGAAACTGATCAGTGAATATGATTTTAAAAAGTTGTTTATACAATAAGTATTTTTATTTTAACTTTCTTCAAACAGACAATTTTTTTTTTAATTAAAATATGTTAAAGTTAAAGACAGACACAAAGAGATGCCGATTTGCTGTTTCATCCAGTTGTTTTTAGAGTAATTATTTATATTTCAGCTTTCTTTAAACGAACAATATTTGAAATATTTTTAAAAAAAAATTTTTTTTGGTATGTTTAAAAAATATTTTCAAATGAATATGATTTTTAAATATTTTTTGCATATTAAAAAATATTTTTTAGTTAATCTGATTTAAAGTTCAAGTTTATACCGGAAGTTCTATTCCTAGTAAATGTTGTAAATCCGTAAAAGTTAACGAATAGAAATATTTATTTAATTGAATCATAATAAAATCAACTTTCATTTCAATGGGACGTTGAAATCAACATCAGCGTTTTATAACCATAACCAATGGGTCACGGGGAGTCTAGCTAATAAAATTTCAGAGTTCAGGTAGGATGGTTAAAAGTATAGAGCTGAAGTTGTCGGGCTTCTTAGATTTTTCTACACAAACCGGATGTTGATCCCTCGACGACCCAAAGCAGATTGCGTAAATAGGCTTTCTGCGCATAGGCTCCACGTATACATCCGCTTTAGCTAAAATAAAACGAACAATTTATTCACCAGTCAGAGCCACTCACACTCCAAAAGCAAAAAAAAAAAAAAAAATCTTAATTTGGATTTGAACAATGGATATATGTTCTCTAATTAAAAAAAAAACTCAACACAGACCAACTTGGACGTCAACACCGGCAAGCTGAGAGATGTGACACAAACCATCAGCAAATGTCTAATTTCATCATTCGCTCTCCCTGTTGCCTTAGTAACAGCAACAGACAAAAGTTACTAGTTTTGTAAATAAATTATATATTTATTTTGCCCATAATCAAATGTGTTCTTATTTGCTTGAATTTATGTTTACCGAGGCGGAGGAGGAATTAAACTCCACAACAATAATAACAACAAGGTTCTAGGTTTTATTTCCCAAGTACTTTCCACCTCTTTCTGAGATCATCATCAGGGGGACAACTGCTAAGGCAAAAACTATGTGCAGCTATCCATTACTGATTTTTTGTTTTTGTTTTTTGTTCTTCTGATAATGATCTCTGAAAGAGATGGAAAATACTTGTGAAATAAAAGTGATTTTCACTGTTACAGTGCATTTCTTGCATCGTTTGATTGTAATACACGGAAAAATATCCGTGAATATGAACGGATCATGCTAAAAACAAGCAGACATCATTTTTGTAATTTATTTAATCAGACACACACACACACACACACACACATATATATATATATATATATATATATATATATATATATATATATAAAGTCATAAATTATCATCCCTTTCCTATAACATATCATTAGACATGTGTGCGGATAATTTTTAGATTATCCCTCTGTAGAGAGGAGGACAGGTTCGCCTAGGAAACTCTGCAGTCGGGGATGCTGATGGTAACATTAATCAAAAGTTTACTTATATATATATATATATATATATATATATATATATATATATATATATATATATATAAGTGATGAATATAGACAGATTGCGATAGATATGAACAGAATGAGACAGACAGACAGATAGATAGATATGGAAAGAGATGGAAAATACTTGTAAAATAAAAGTAATTTTCATTGTTATAGTGCATTTCTTGCATCGTTTAATTGTAATACACTGAAAAATATCCGTGAATATGAACAGATTATGCTAAAACAAGCAGACATAATATAGTAATTTATTTAATCACACACACGCACACACACACACACACACACACACACACACACACACACACACACACACACACATATATATATATATATATATATATATATATATATATATATATGTAAGCAAATATATGGATATAGATCCGACAGTATGAAGGAAAATATATACGGAAAAACAAACAAAAATCCTTATATGCAATTATGCTGTTTTAATGTTAATATGTCAACGTCGGACGTTTGATAATGTTATAATTTATGAATATGTCCTGAAGATGGTTTATTAGACCGAAACGTCCGGACATTGACATATTAACATTAAAACAGCATAATTGTATATAGGATTTTTGTTTGTTTTTTCCGTATATATTTTTTCTTCATATATATATATATATATATATATATATATATATATATATATATATATATATATATATATATATATATATGTAACCAAATATATGGATATAGATCCGACAGTATGAAGAAAAATATACAGAAGAATATATAGACGTTGAAATTATATTAACATTAATACAGCATAATTGCATATTAAGGTTTTTTATATATATATATATATATATATATATATATATATATATATATATATATATATTTATTAAATATGTATATATATTAAATATCTATATATTTCTATTTAAATTGTTTATATATATATATATATATATATATATATATATGAACATATGCTTTATATGCACATATGGTTTATATATATATATATATATATATATATATATATATATGCACATATATTTATATATATGCACATATGCTTATATATATGTTTTATATATATGGACATATGTTTATATATATATGCACATATGCTTATATATATATAAAAGCATATGTGCATATATATATATATATATATATATATATATATGCATATATGCTTTTATATATATATATATATATATATATATATATATATATATATATATATATATATATATATATATATATATATATATGCATATATATATATGCATATATATATATATATATATATATATATATATATATATTCTATTTCATGCTACATGTAATCATCGCGGCCTGACGATTGCATTTAGCATGTAACAGATAAGTGTTGACTTCTATGTTCACTTTTATATATATATATATATATATATATATATATATATATATATATATATATATATATATATATATTTAATATATGCATCATTTCTCTGTATGCGTTTCTTCAGAAAAACGTGGACGTTTCTGCACAAGTCTTCAACACTCTAATCAAATCGTATGTATTGGGGGTGGGTGGGCATAATGCTATCATTTCCATTTCTACGAGCTGAATTGTTTTTTTGTGTTTAGGGGGGTCTCATAACCAGTCTAGAAGAAAGATAAACCTGCATACAAAACCTGATAAAATAATAATTCGGTTGACTGACCTTATCGAAACTTGGCTGACAACGTGTCAGAAAAGAAAATAAAAGCTCTGAATTACAGACCAACGGAAAATCATTCCATCATCTTTCCAACGAAGTCATGATAATACACATCTAATAAAGAAAAGAAAACAGTGGAGAGTCATAATCGCCTACGTCCTGGGGGTTAGAAAATAGGATTATAGGTGAGTAGCGGGACAGACTGTATTGCTCTAGTAAAAAATGACGGTGGAGTTAATCATATATATATATATATATATATATATATATATATATGTATATGCCAAAAAAATTGGACTCGTGGATGAAATTAAACAAAAATTAATGAAATTTAATTTAATTACAAAATTAAATTGAAGCTTTTTTAGCTTCCATTTTGAAACATGGTTAAAACTGTGTAGCGAAAAAAAACATATTTTAAATCAATTATATATATATATATATATATATATATATATATATATATATAAATATATATAAAAAAAACGGAAAAAAACAAACAAAAATCCTTATATGCGATTATGCTGTTTTAATGTTTAATGTCAACGTCGGACGTTTCGGTCTAATAAACCATCTTCAGGACATATTCATAAAATATAATTAACATTATCAATACAACATGACAAAGACGATGTACATAAGAACAAGACTTATCCAAACAGATAACTGAAAGTTTTATAAGATCAGCGCTCCGTTTAAACAGGGTCACGTTGTCGTCACGTGGGCGACGCTGTGAAAACGTATTCCTAAAATTTGAGTATTTTGAATGAAAATGAAAGAATTCTATTTTGATCTAAAATTTATATGTTCGTTTGTACATATATATATATATATATATATATATATATATATATATATATATAGATGTATATTTAGGCAGCAATCCTTCGTTTATGCATGTTTCATTAAAAACGACAGACAAGGTATTACGGTTGAGATTTTTATTTAATTTATCTTGTGTTCGAACAAGGGCTTTATTTTCTGGACAAAGGGTGTGTAAGAACTGTCCAAATGTCTTATATTTCCGAGCGCTTTCGGCTATACATTTAGCCATTATCAAGGATGATTAGATTTTTAAGCTTAATTGAGTGTGTGCATTATGTGTATGTCTTAGTGTGTGGTAGGGATGTTTAAATTTCCGAATACGGTTAGCACATTGTGGCCTTGTTTGTAGTTAACATTGTTAAGAGTTGGCTTTTTCTTTTTTATTATTAAAGCTCCCATTATTTTTAGTCTTTTTTTACAGGTGGATGCAGTTAATATATTTGTGTTTTCTACTGTATGTTTTTTTAATGAAACATGCATATATATATATATATATATATATATATATATATATATATATATATATATATTCAAGGGAAAGCTGGCTTTCCCTGACGATCCGCTTAGGTGAAACCTTGGTAGGTTTGTCTGGCTCTCTAGGTTTGACTAGGTCCGTTCTCCGGTTGTATTGAGCACTTTCTTAGTTAGTTGATTACTCGTAAAATGGGTTTTTTCTTTGGGCTTTGGACTTGTATGCTGTACGATTGATTTCGACAGACGTTCATGTTCTTAGCTCTTTCTTTTTTAAAAACATTTTTTTTCCTTCGAAATTGATTTGATCATTAGCAAATCAAGAAAACGAAGGTTTTCCGAGGCGAGTGTAGTTACCTATATTTTTATATATATATATATATGTAGTTTTAAGGAATACTACATTTAGAAGAAAAAATGTAGGCAAGTGGATATAGACGAACAGACTAAGATTGGTACATCTATCTATCTATCTATCTATCTATCTATCTATCTATCTATCTATCCCATTCTGTTTCATATCTATCTATCTATCTATCTATCTATCTATCTATCTATCTATCTATCTATCCCATTCTATTTTCATCTATCTATTCCAATCTATTTCATATCTATCTATCTATCTATCTATCTATCTATCTATCTATCTATCTATCGATCGATCGCATTTTGTTCATTATTTCTGTTCATTATCTATCTATCTATCTATCTATCTATCTATCTATCCCATTCTGTTTCATATCTATCTATTCCACTCTATTTCATATCTATCTATCTATCTATCTATCTATCTATCTATCTATCTATCTATCTATCTATCTATCTCAACCTGAGATAGATATGAATACAGTGAAATACGTAGATAGATAGATAGATAGATAGATAGATAGATAGATAGATATGAACAGACTGAAACATGTTGATAGATATATAGATAGATATGAACAGACTGATATATGTAGATAGACAGATATGGACAGACTGAAATACATAAATAGATATAAAGAGATAGATAGATAGATAGATAGATAGATAGATAGATAGATAGATAATGAACAAAATGCGATCGATCGATAGATAGATAGATAGATAGATAGATAGATAGATAGATAGATAGATAGATAGTAACTGATATAGATAGATAAGAACAATCTTCACTGAGATAGATAGATATGAGCAGTCTGAGATAGATAGATAGATAGATAGATAGATAGATAGATAGATATGAACAGACTGAAACATGTTGATAGATATATAGATAGATATGAACAGACTGATATACGTAGATAGACAGATATGGACAGACTGAAATACGTAGATAGATAGATAGATAGATAGATAGATAGATAGGTAGGTAGGTAGGTATAAATCTGTTAAACAATATTATTTTGGCCACAAAAGTATCTATTTTTTGGTTTTCTTAATTCTACATGATTTTGTTTCGATGTTAATTTTGCGAAAGAATCAAGCGAGAAAGATTATTGGAATTAAAGTTTGCTTATATTATTACAATTCCCTCGCGAATTTGAAGTGCAGGTTTTAAATTCATATTACAGATGAACAGTCTTGAAATTGATTCTACAATAATTAGCTCTTTTTTTTTTCATTATTCAAATTCTGCCCAACAGCCTTGGTGAAGGCTGAGGCCAGACAATGAGTAAATTAAAATTTTAATATGCCATCTTGTAGAATTATTTATTTCCATATATTGTTAGTTTTATTTTTTTATAACACTTCAAGCGTGAAATTGAAGTTCAGTTCTTCAATTTACTTTTCATTAAAATGCAAGAAGAAAAAATAATTAATTATAATTACAAAATGCGGATTGAAAACCGTTTCTTACCTGTGGCAGTAAAATAAAAAGCTGTCTAATATATGTCGGTATATTTTGGGATTATGAGCAAGACATGTGGTTCTGCAGAAGGATGCTGAGAATGCCATGGACCGAACGAGTGAGCAAACGAAGTTTCAACGAGAATGGAAACACAAAGGACACTTATACTTAACATCAGGAAGAAATGTTTAGAGTAGATGATGAGGAAAGACGGTTTGGGAAATATGATACTCACAAGGGAGATTGAGGGCAAGTGGTGCAGAAGAAATCCACACATAACTTACCTAAGAATCTTGTGTGAATAGATGGCTGAACAGAGTTTAGCAGGTATAGCAAAAAGACAAAATTTACTAAGAGCTACAAAAGACAGGATATTGATAAATGCTGAAGAATCTCCTCACAGATTGGAGAGAAGACTTGAGGCAACACAGAATATGGAAACAAAACAAGACACTTTGACTTAACATCAGGAAGAGGCAGTTGAAATTTCTAGGTTACATAATGAGGAAAGAGGGCTTGGAAAATTTGTTACGCACAAGAAAGCTTGAAGGTAGAAGGGATAATAGACTATATGGCAGTGAATGCTGGACAATCTCCTCTCTGATGAAGAAGAGACTTGAGGCAACAGAAACAAAGAAAAGGGTGCTGAACTGTTATATAATATCAGTCCTCCTATATGGCAGTGAATGCTGGATAATCTCCTCACAGATGATAAAGAGACTTGAGGCAACAGAAACAAAGAGTGCTGAACGGTTATATAATATCAGTCCTGTTATATAGCAGTGAATGCTGGAGAATCTCCTCACAGATGAAGAAGAGACTTGAGGCAACAGAAACAAACAAAAGAGTGCTGAACGGTTATATAATATCAGTCCTCCCATATGGCAGTGAATGCTGGACAATCTCCTCACTTGTCTATATTATTTAATGAAATATACATATATATATATATATATATATATATATATATATATATATATATATATATAAGGTCTGATGAATATATATATATATGATGAATATATATATATATATATATATATATATATATATACTCGACTCTCCCATCGAATTCGACGTATGATTGTCAAGCAGATCAGTTCCTAGGAATCCGACAGCCCGACAACAGCACATGAGATTTGATTATAGTGGTGAAGGTTTTGTGCAGGACCATCCACACTTTTTGAAGGGCTGAATACAGAGACCTGGTGCTCTACGTGCCACAAGGTCCCCAAACGACCATCCGCAGGTTTTGAATTCAGAGTTGTCCTTCTCCTAGACCAGTCGGCTTGGATTGAGGAATCGGAGAGTCGAGTTCGAATTCGAATTCCAGTCGAATCCATTACATTCACTTACGTGCTAATGCCCTTAGGAATGGTAGAAATCCTATTCTTCTCCCTCCAGCTATGGGTAAATAGCAGGACGACTGGGTTATATATATATATAGTTTTATTTGTTTATTTTTTTTTCTTTATCTTAATCCGTTGTTGTTGATATTTGTAAGTATTTATATTGTGTGTTGATGCAAATCTGCCGAAAATTTCGCTTTTGTTTTGAGCTCAATCTCTTAAGAAAAAGAATTGTACATTCATATCCTCGCTGTATGACCTTATCACCACGCCCATATGGGTGGGAGGGTAATAGATAATCCTGTTTGTTTCGTCTTTTCAGTGACATATAAATTAAAGGGTCTACTCAAGAAAAAAACAGAGAAAATTTGAAGCAGGGGGGAATAATCTTTTGTAGATTAGCATCCACTAAACCATTCTCTCGATCTCTAAACACACCATTTCGCAGAAACAAAAGATATTATTTATTTTTATTTTTTCATTTTAGAAGGGAGAGTGTTCTATTCATAATATAAGTACAGTTTCAAATTGAACCAGGCACGGTGGAGTAATGGATAGTGGTTCGGATTGAGGAATCGGAGAGCCGAGTTCGAATTCCAGTGGAATCCATTATATTCACTTACGTGTTAATAAATTCTTCTCCCTCTAACAGACCGAGTTCTACAGCCTTGAAGAGCAACTTGTCAGAAATGGCAACCTGCTGCGGGAAAAATCTGCCTCGTCAGTCATGTATCGAAAGATACATGATCGCCTAAGCGTGTATCACGCATGGCACATAACTGACTGACTGATGTGCTAATACCCTTGGGAAAGGTATGAATCCTCTTCGTCTCCCCTCCCCCAGCTATGGGTAAATAGCAAGTGGAACGGGTTCTATAGCCTTGGATAGCAATTGGTCTACCGCAGAAAGAAATGGCAACCTACTGCGGGAAATATCTACCTCGTCAGTTATGTATCGAAAGATAAGTGATCGCCTAAGCGTGTATCACGAATGGCACATATCTGAATGACGTGCTAATACCCTTGGGAAAGGTATGAATCCTCTTCTTCTCCCTCCAGCTATGGGTAAATAGCAGGACAGAACAGGTTATATAGCCTTGGTTGACAACTGGTCTACCGTAGAAAGAAATTGCTACCTACTGCGGGAAAAATCTGCCTCTCTAATAATGTATCGAAAGATACATGATCGCCTAAGCGTATATCACTCATGGCACATAACTGACTGACTTTTTAAAAATTTATCACTGACATAAGCACAGTTAAAAAAATACTCAGTCAGTCAGTTAAATTTCTTGGCGTGGCATGCGTGCCATAGGTTGCCGACCCCTGTTCTAACTTATGATCGTATTAATTCTCTTTACTTTAAAGATAATCATATTTGCAGAAATGGATAGACGTTGCCTGCAAAGATACACAGGTGCAAATTAAAGATTTTGTCTCGTACTTGTCGCCCCTGGTTTTATTGCAGCATAGATAGCTGAATGCTACCGGCATTTTTTCACAATTTGTTTCCAACGGCACACAGCCGCAAATGACACCATTTACCTTTAAGCTGATAGATAATTCCACTTCTTAAAAGGCGCCGATTTACCAAAAGACACTTTCACCATTTTTAAGAGACAACGCAACTTAAATTGCATTAAAATCAATATAAGTCGTTAAGATACATGAAGGAACGATAGTTACTTAAGTAATTGTCCCCACCTGTTCGAAGCTTAATCCTATAATTCTAACGTCTCCACCTAAACTCCGCAATGTTTATTCTTTTTTCTCTTGCTTAACGTAATTTAATTTTTTTATTTTTATTTTTATTTTCTACTAGCAGTAGAGGCCGGCGTTGCCCGGGGATGTAACAGTAAGAGGTAGATCAAGTATCGACCATCATAAAGACTGAAAAATAAAATTGACGAACATTATTGTTTAAGGATGTCTTAATTAGTTTTTTTTGTTTTGTTTTGTTTTTTTTGACGAATTGGTCAAACCCAAACTCAAACAAAAACATTGTTTTCAATCGTTATGAGTTTATCGATTGAATAGAATTTTATTATAAACAATTGTCTTGTAAATGGAATTTGTAAAGCATTCTGAATGTAAAAATAAAGAAAAAAGTGTGCAAGACAATAAGAAACACTACCTGCCAAAAAAAGTTTTGCTGAAATCGGTTGAAAAATGTAAGAAATCCGATCCCATATATAAACGAACACACACACACACACACACACAAACACACAAACAACCTGGGTTTTTAAGTATAACTAGATATGAGGTGTCCCCCTTCCATTCTCGCGATGCCTTTTAATCGTGTTTTCAAATTGATTTCGTGCAAAAATAATCGTGTTTTCAAATTGATTTCGTGTTTTTTCCAATTTTTGGCGCTGTCAGAACCACCGCAAGGTAATTTTACGTAGTCCTGTGAAGTTTTGTTGAAATCGGTTGAATATAAAAGCGTACACACACACACACACACACACAACCTGGGTTTTATAATAAGTATGATTAATTTTTCTTTTTAATAGGAGCAGATAGATTTGCATACTGCTCAATTCACACTCAGTCCCTGTCTATTGAACAGGAGTAGAGGTTTATTCCGTGTTTCCTGTTTAGAATTGGGTTTCCGGTTATACTAATGTCTTCTCATTCTCTTTCCCTACCATTAACACAATGCGTCTTCGTGGCGTTATCATCTTCCTTGGAGTGAAATGATTAAAAATAAATACAAAAAAAAACTTCCAACGCTTCCACCTAAACTGCGAAATTTTACTCTTTTTTTTTCTTACTTATTTTTTTTCCTCTTACTTCAATAGGAGTAGATAGGTTCGCCTATCGCCCGGTTCACACTCCTCCCCGTCTACTGAACAGGAGTAGAGGTTCACCCTTTAGTATCTGTCTATGTTACTGAGATGAGGTATTATGTACACTATTTACATTATTCGGACTATTGTCCTTATCTTTGTCGCCGGAGCGTACAACGGCCGAAACGTTGGGATAAATATATTACAACGTTTCGGACGTTGTACGCTCCGACCTTCTTCAGGTGGTTGGAATGTCGAACTGAACACTTTATTTCGCTCACTGGGGTAGACTGTTCTAGTTCCACGTGCCATGTCTAATGGATATATGGATGGATATCTAATGGATGTCCCAGTGCCATGTGTCCTCAAGGACACATGGCACAATGGATAAAGGTGTTAGTTAGATCCAGTGACAGGACCCAAAAAGTGTGAGTTCAATACCTGGTTAAGGCGGTGGAGAACTTGCAGAGGGGAATTAACAGGAGATAACTGATAACCGATATCCATTAGACATGGCACGTTGAACTAGAACAGTCTACCCCAGTGAGCGAAATAAAGGGTTCAGTTCGACATTCCAACCACCTGAAGAAGGCCGGAGCGTACAATGGCTGAAACGTTGTGATAAATATGCCGACAAAGATGAGGACAATAGTCCGAATAATGTAAATAATGTACATAATACCTCATCTCAGATATATAGACAGATACTGAAGGGCCGAAACGTTGTAATAAATATGGCGACAAAGATGAGGACAATAGTCCGAATAATGTAAATAGTTTACATAATACCTCATCTCAGAAATATAGACAGATACTGAAAGGCCGAAACGTTGTAATAAATATGGCGACAAAGATGAGGACAATAGTCCGAATAATGTAAATAGTGTAAATTGATTTTCAATAATTTTAGGTATTTTTTGAAAGTTTTCATACACCAAATTACTTTTAACTCCGAAACCCTCAACTGGGAGGTGACGGCGCATTTTTTTGTTCCCCTGTTTTGGCCTCTGGTATATTTTTGTAATAAATATGGCGACAAAGATTAGGACAATATTTCGAATGATGTAAATAGGTTCACCATTTGTTTCCTGCTTAGGATTGCGTTTCCGGTTGCTTCTAAAGTATCCCTTTTCTTTCCAACCCCGTGCGTTTTAGTCGCATTATCGCCTTGCTTGAAGTGAATAAAAAAAAAATAAAATAAAATGGAGAAATAATTGAAATCTGAAATGTAATCATCTTTTTCCGTCAGTAAACCGACAGATACCGAACTCGGTTATAGAAAGCTTGTGTCTGTAAATATTGACGTTACGTCATTGTGTCGATGACGCTATATTTGCATATTGATCAGTTGCCATCCAACCCCATTCATATCCCACGACCTCACAACCTTCTGTTATTTCAACTGTCCTTTTCATTTGCTAATAGCAACACTCTGCTAATGATTTCGTCCGCTGCTACTCAATTCATCTTCAAGAAACTTGAACCTTCAACTGACAGATTTTAAATATGTTTAATTATATCCTTCAACCCCCAAGGAAATCAAGTTGTAAATGAAAACAAAGTTTTAGATAACCGTTTCCAAGTGGGATTTTTCTTCAACTAAATCCAGTTAGTCTATTGTGGTTTTCTTTGAAAAGCTGCCTTCTTTTCCCTCTTGGAACTTTGTCAGTCTGTCGTTTGCAGACAGAATTATCTGTTTGCAATTCTCAAAAGATTTCTATCGCAATAAAAGAGAGTGAGAGAAAAAAAAATCTTAATACTGAAGAACATAGGTTAAAATTCAAGTCAGGATTAGAATATGAAACAGATTTTTCGACACTGACACATCGAAGAACTTAAAGATATTAAATATTTACTAGAAGTTTTATTTGGCGTTGCCTTGGTTAAATTTCCTTCCTCTGCTCCGTTAAGATACAAATCTGTTTTTTTTTTTTCCTGAGATATATTCCGTAATGACTTAAAAGATAATGGTAATACTTATTAACTATTTCCATACACCTGTCTTACACCTTTATAAATCGACCATCTTGCTGCCAAAGATGGTCTGGTGTCGCTGCTATCTATTTAGAGATTCTTGTCAAAATCAAATCTGTGATGTTATCGGCCCTGGCCTGGCATATCGGCTTCAGTCTCGTTACCCTCGTCGTAACGTAGCTTCCCTGTACCTTTTCTATAATATATATTCAAAGTATTTGTTCTGATAAACTTCCCTGGACTCCATAGAGACTTAGTGGTATTATGGTGATTGTAGTGAAAATGGTAAATAAGAATGAGTTGTTTTAGTGCAAAGAATACTGTGGTATATTTGGGTCAATAATTGTGGCTAGCTAAGTCTAAGATAAAACAGACTGAAGACCATTCTTTCCCTATTTTTGGCCTTGTGCCAAGTTTTTGTATTGTCAAAATAAATATTATTTTACTGTTTGGTTCCTCGACTTCACGAATTAAACACAGCACTAGATTGGCGGATAGGTGTCACGACTTCACTGTTGAAACCGTAAACTCTCTGCGAATAATTTAGATAGATAGATATGAACAGATGGAAATAGATAATGAACAAAATACGATAGATAGATAGATAGATAGATAGATAGATAGATAGATCCAAACTGAGATAGATAGATAATGAACAAAATGCCATAGATAGATAGATAGATAGAGAGAGAGAGAGATAGAGAGAAAGAGAGAGATAGAGACAGATAGATAGATAGTAACTGATATAGATAGATAAGAACAATCTCCACTGACATAAATAGATAGATAGATAGATGGTATTTATCAATTCACCCACAGGAATTGAATGTGGCACAAGGCCTTTTTAATGTGGGTATGTCCGAGCCCGTAGGCCCAGCCAAAAATAAAACCCATCTAAACCCGTCCAAGCGGGCTAGTTCCGTCAACCTCCCCGAACGAAACCCTACCCTTCGGCAGAGCTTCGTCCGGGTTCCTCTCTGCAAGCAGAGAGTTCGACAGACACCCGACCCGGCAGCCCACAAAGCGCAGATACTACACTTTGATCCTAGCCACCGGGCCGAGCGGAGATAGATAGATAGTAACTGATATAGATAGATAAGAACAATCTTCACTGAGATAGATAGATATGAGCAGTCTGAGATAGATAGATAGATAGATAGATAGAGATAGATAGATAGATAGATAGATATTAGAAGTCTGATATAGATAGACAGATAGATACGAACAGTCTGAGATAGATAGATAGATAGATAGATAGATAGATAGATAGATAGATAGATAGAGTCAATTGCTGATATCCCTAACAAATGGACGGAGTGATTCCTGGAGAATCCGTAATGGAACTATAGTGCCGGGATGCTGAAGATAATATCATTCAGGTAAGAGAGAGAGAGAGAGAGAGAGAGAGAGAGAGAGAGAGAATTAATACATGTAAAAGTTTTTCTCTTTCTCTCTCTCTCTCTCTCTCTCTCTATATATATATATATATATGTGTGTGTGTGTGTGTGTGTATCTCTCTCTATATATATATATTTGTTTTATTAAAATTTTGTATATATATATATATATATTTTATAAATTCAGTCTCAGACAAAATGTGTATTTGGCAAAAAAAGAACGGCAAAATTAGGAGAGTGCTCAGTACAAATTTCAAAAACCGAAAATGCAGGGCAATTTAATATATAAAATATTTGAAACACTGACCTTTATGCTACCATTGCTTCTTAGAGGATGGTTTCCTCAGCCAGTCCTGTTGAAAACATTCTGGTAAAGAACGTGGTACCAGAAAGTTCGGTGTTTCAAATATTTTATATCTTATATATATATATATATATATACAGACACACACACACACATATATATATATATATATATATATATATATAAATATATATATATATTATGAAATGGACAAAGTCCGACAATTATTTTAAGATATTTATGTTTATACATTCTTTTTTATAGATACAAATATTTAAGTAAATGCTCTGTTTATAATGAACACTATAAAACAATATTTACCGGCATTAATGTCCGAGAAACTGTCATAGAAAATATTCGTCCTCCGACAGGAATCGAAGCTGTATCCTATAAGGATCCGTTACATAGCCTGACGTGCTGTTACCGATTTCGCTACAGAGGAGCGCTTTGGTTAGCAAGGTCAAATTTACTGTTTTTAAACTACAGTTGGGCCACTGGCGGATCGACAAAGGTCCAACTGTGGCTGTCACTAGAGGACCGCTGGCATTGCCACCGGCAGTTCGCCAGAAGGCCACTAGCGTTTTTCTTGTAGGATATATATATATATATATATATATATATATATATATATATATATATAAATGAAATAATAATAAGAAAATATATTTATATATATATATATATAAATGAAATAATAATAAGAAAAACCGAAAAGAATATTAATCTACAACCCAGTATTATTATTTTAATTTAATATTTTTTTATTGTTCAAAAAAAAAAAAAATAATATATATATATATATATATATATATATATATATATAGAGAGAGAGAGAGAGAGACAAAAGAGAGACAAAGGATAGAGAGTTAAATTGGGGACACGGGATGGTATCACTAAATCATAGTGATTTACTTATCTTACTCAAACTGTTGATCAGGTAAGATGTTGCGCTTTCTCCCAGAAATATAAATATATATATATATATATATATATATATATATATATATATATATATATAAGCAAGCCTTTATTGAAAACAATAGACTGAGTTTGTTTTTCTTAAGTACATTTTTTTAGTTTTCTTGTTTAAGATAACGGATGTTTTCCAGTGTTTAAAAAAAAAAAAGATAGGATATATATATGGACAATATTTTATGTATGCAAGAACCCAACCTCCGTTATCTGACGAGACAAGGTGCTGAGATTAAGCTTTTTGTTTCATTTTTCTTGTGTTCATATCATTATAAGTTTTGTTGAAAATAGAAATCTGATCCCATATATAAACGAACACACACACACACACACACACACACACACACACACACACACAACCTGGGTTTTATAAAGTATAATCGATATGAGTTGTCCCCTTCATTCTTCGAAATCGTTTTTAAATTGATTTCATGCAAAAACAATTGTTTTTCCAATTTTTGGCACTGTCAGAACCACCGCAAAGGTAATTTTACGTAGTCCTGTGAAGTTTTGTTGAAATCGGGAAAAAATGTAGGAAATCCGATCCAATATATAAACGTACACACACACACACACACACACACACACACACACACACACACACAATCTGCGTTTTATAATAAGTAAGATACAAGATAACCCTGCCATTATTTAATTATCTGTAGCATTTAAGAACTATTTAAAGATAAGAACAGCTATTGCTCTTGTTAAATATGTTCTATATTATTTTCCTAGATGTACCAATAATGGGAGAACTGCTTGTTAGAGTTCAGAATCCCTCGTTTCGGTTTACAGCGGTTTTGGTTTACACATCTCCGTCAACATTAGGATTTTGTTAAATCTTTAATGTATTTTCAATAATTAATCTTCGAAATCGCAAACCATTTCCTACAGAAATCTACGGTAAATCAGGTTCACTCAAAAGAGATTGCAATTTTTTTTTAATCAATTAATCACAGGCAAATCGATAATGCCACTAAAACGCAAGAGGCTATTGGGAGGGTAAGAGAATGAAAACACTTTCAGTGAATAAACCTATACTCCTGTTTAAAAAAAAAAACAAAACAACAAAAGAAACAAGATATGTGAAGCGGACGATAGACGAAACTATCTACTCCTATTGAGGAAAATAAATAAATAATACTTATTATAAAACCCAGGTTGTGTGTGTCTGTTTGTTTATATATTGGGTTGGATTTCCTACATTTTTCAACCGATTTCAACAAAACTTCACTGGGCTACGTAAAATTAAAAATAAAATTGGAAAAACACAATTGGTTTTGCATGAAATCAATTTGAAAATGTTAGACATTTTATGCCGGTCGTCTTCGAGTATAGAATCCAGAGGTTAGCAGTGAATATTTCGGAGACAGTAGGAAAGCGTAGTTCAGGTTAGCAGTGGATATCGCACCAAAGTAGCAGAGCGTAGTTCTTCCTTCTGTTCATCTTCGCCTGACAAGTTGGCACTGGTCATTCGGGTAAGGAAACAAAAATGGCCGCCTTTATACACGACGGATAGAATGTTCTGCGCCTTCTGATTGGTTAATCTTCTATTGGTAGACTATAAAGCGAGTCAAGGCATTTGGATTGGCTCACTAGTTACATAGTATACACAAAAAACTGTAACAGAAAACACGATTAAGAGGCATCGCTGTCGCGAGAATGAAAGGGGGACAACTCAGATAACTGAAATCATAATTAACATAGACCATATTAAATATGATCATGCCGTCGTCACGTGGGCGATATTGTGAAAACGTATTCCTAAAATTTGAGTATTTTGAATGAAAAACGAAAAGAATTTTATTTTGATCTAAAACGCACGGGGAAAACTAGACCTGGCTTCTTTAATATTTTCCCTTTTCTAGCAAGATTAATGCTCGACAAACGTACATATAAGTTTTAGATCAAAATAAAATTATTTTCGTTTTTCATTCAAAATACTCAAATTTTAGGAATACGTTTTCACAACATCGCCCACGTGACGACGACGTGATCATATTTTAAACGGAACGCTGATCTTATGAAAGATTTCAGTTATCTGTTTGGATTGGTATTGCTTTTATGTCCATCGTCTTTTTCATGTTGAATTGAATATAGTCTAATGTTAATTATGTTTTATGAATATGTCCTGAAGATGGTCTATTAGACCGAAACGTCCGACGATGACATTATTTTAACATTAAAAAGCATAATTGCATATTAGGATTTTTGTTTGTTTTTCCGTATATTTTTCTTCATACTGTCAGATTTATATCCATATATTTGCTTACATATATATATATATATATATATATATATATATATATATATATATATATATATATATAAATTGTTCAAATTCTGTAACAGCGTACAATAATTTTGCATCAGACAATATGTCTAAGATCTAAAAATCACTAAACTATGTGAGTTTTTTCCGGTTTTCAGGTTAGACGTTTAGCCATCTTGACACCGTTTGTCGGAAGAAACACTTAAAAACCCTTTGAGTTACTCAGCTAGAAAGAGAACAGGTTAAAATCGTTTTGCGTCATCCCAACTGTGTCTTCGCAACTAAGCAATGGTGAGAGGAAAAAGATCATTCAGGCCTTCAGTAATGTTACCAACATTCATACTCTGGCTTCCATCTTCAAAAATCGTTAAAGAACCATCAAGAGAACGGTGGTCACAACAGCAAAAGGATCATCATTTCAACTTCAAGCTAAAGAGATCAATTAGAAAAGATCCCACGCAATCCATAAGACGTTTGGCACGTGAGAGAGAAGTTTCAGCTATGACAGTGAAATAAAGACTTGAAAATGAAATCGTACGTGAAACCTGTGAGGAATCTGGTGAAGCATTGACTCGATGACCCCGTCTACGGTTGACTCCTTAACAGACTGGGTTCTATAGCCTTGGATGGCAACCAGTCTAAGAGAATGAAAAACACTCTATTCAAAACTGTATGTAGCCCTGGTGAAGCATATACTATGCAGCCAAGGAAAGAATCGTTCACATTGACTCGATGACTCCGACTACGGTCGACTCGTTTGTGTCAAAGCTACACACTATATGGCCACGAGTCTGTCAGGTTAGCCCAAATCAATCTGTTGAATGCGCATCTCACCTGGTGTCTGACTATGGTCGTTTTCATTTCACATTAGTGATGGGGGGGTCCTCCATTGGACCGGCATTGTTTCTGATCCTCATCCTCAACCTTCCCGGAGTCATCAGTTCCAAACTAGGCATTTATGTAGACGACACAACGATTTAACTCACGTCTTAGTCGCGAGTCTAGCTCTTCTACAACCCAAACTAAAACGAAAAGGACCTAGGTCGAGCAATTTGCGAGGAATGGCTTGTAAATTCACCAAAAATAAAACTGATATTGTATATTTTATAATTTGATTAATAATCAGTGACAAGATAAGGCAAATGCTTCTTAATCAACACGCGACCGTGTCTCTAACGAGAAACACAGCCGAAAACCTTTGAAGCTAAGAATGCTAGAGAATTCCAGTTTCTCTTATTTCAATATTTATCCCCAACCAGAACCAGTCCCTTTGGTAATTACGAACCATCTGTGAAAAGTGCTAATGCTCTTCCCATATCTCAGTATATACTATTTGGCTTTTCTGAGTGGAGGACTGGATATCAATCGGGTTCTTTCTTTGATATAATACCTTACTATTATTATTATTATTATTATTATTATTATTAGTAGTAGTAGTAGTAGTAGTAGTATTTCACAGCCTTTTCGTCTCCACTGCCTCATTCCTCCTCCTGACGTCTGCTTTATCGTTCTCCTCTTCCGCCCCTTCTTTTTCTCCGCATTCTTTTTCTCTTTCGCCATCTTCTTTTTCTTCCTCTTCTTCTTTGCCCCCTCCTCCTTCTTCTCTTTTTCATCTCTCTCTTTCTCCTTATTCTTCTTTTGATCTCGTCTTATCCGCTTTCTCTCCCCTTGCTTTTTCTTCTTCTTCTTCTTCTTCTTCTTCTTCTTCTTCTTCTTCTTCTTCTTCTTCTTCTTCTTCTTCTTTCACATCCTTTTCGTCTCCACTGCCTCATCCCTCCTCCTGGCATCTACTTTATCGTCTTCCTCTTACGCGCCATTCTTTTTCTCTTTCGCCATCTTCTTCTTCTTCCTCTTTTTCTTTTCTTTCTTCTTCTTCAACTACATATCGCTCTTTCTCCTTATTCCTCTTTTGATCTCTTCTTACCCTCTTTCTTTTCCCTTTCTTCTTCTTCTTCATCATCTTCTTCTTCATCTTCTTCTTCTTCTTCTTCTCTAGCATCAAGGTCAGAAAGTTTTGTTATAATCAGATCCCATTTCTTTTCCCTGGCTGCAAAAAAAAAAAAAACCTCTTCGGGGATTAATAGATAAAAAAGATTAATATATGCCATCGGAACAGATGTTGACTCATTTGGTTTTAATCTTTCTTATTTATTCGCTTTCATATAATCCTAAGAGGATTTTTTTTTTCAAAATATTCACGAACATCAAATATTTATTTTCATCCTCCATGTATTAATGCAGGATTAAAAATTTTGTGAATATATTTTATTCACAGCAATGACCCCCAAAATTCCTGAATAAATTATGTTTCACATCATAGATATTTCTTAACATCCATATTTATACGTTTGCATTTTCAGCGGCACACTAACGCATAACATGACATTTTTTCTCTTGTCAATGTGTAAAAATAAGTAAACAAGAAAATAAGGTAAGGAGGAAACATTATTAAAGGAAAATGCTATGTTCTGAAAGTTTATACTTCTTCTTCATAGATAGATAGATAGATAGCTACGAACAGGCAGAGATAGATAGATAGATAGATACGAACAAGCAGAGATAGATAGATAGATAGATACGAACAAGCAGAGATAGATAGATAGATAGATACGAACAAGCAGAGATAGATAGATAGATAGATAGATAGATAGATAGATAGCTATGAACAAGCTGAGATAGATAGATAGATAGATACAAACAAGCTGAGATAGATAGATAGATAGATAGATAGATAGATAGATAGATAGACAGCTACGAACAAGAAGAGATAGATAGATAGATAGATAGATAGATAGATAGATAGATAGATACGAACAAGCAGAGATAGATAGATAGATAGAAACAAGTTGAGATATATAGATAGATAGATACGAACAAGCTGAGATAGACAGACAGATAGATACGAACAAGCTGAAATCGATAGATAGAGGGAGAGAGAGAGAGCTATATATATATATATATATATATATAGAGATAGATAGATAGATATTTGTCTTCTTTTAAACAAGTTTCATTAACAATACCGAGAAGTTCTATCAGTTCAACTTATATTCATTTTTTCCAACTTCCGACCAAGTTGCTTTTTTTTTTGTTTTTTTTTCTTTTAATAATTTAACTCCAGACAAGGCAATAATGCCTCTAAGACGCAAGAAAAGTGAGCGAAACAAAAGACTTTAGAAGGTGCCGAAAACCCAATCCTAAACAGGAAACAAGTGATAAATCACTACTCATATTTAAAAGACCGGTGAGTAGTGATGTCAGGTTTAAAATTGGTAAAATTGGTCTATATACTTGTCTGCCGTATCAAATCCCGATTGCAGACGCCAGCTCAGGCACTTTTGTTTTTAGCCCAACACCCGCAGAGCCCACCTGTGTTTTTATACATGCAAGCTTAGTTACGTTTATGAATTATCTGGCGTGATCAAGGCCAATACGTTCAAAGCCTCGATCACGATGACTTGCGACTTTGGTGCTAACTCAACCATCGACGCCTAATTCAAGCATCGAATGATACTTCCGCCTACCCAAGTTCACGCAGAAG